TATCCGTTGTTGTATCCGAGTCTATTGCTCGCTTTTCTGGTGTGCAAGATTTATATGTTTAAATTTTTGACAAAATAATGTTGTAATTATTGTCTGAAGACAGAATAGTTATTATTTATTTATTTTTTTATAAAAAACAAAAATGAATTTCAACAAAAAATTTTCTTTAAAATGAGATATAACGAGAGATAAATGACAAAGCTGAAAAATTCAGTTATTTGAAAACAAAAATTCTGGTCTAACAAAAATTTTTTCTTATAATTTAACATATACAACACCATTTTATAAAAATATTTTTGTTTTTATATTAGATTATGTTATAATTATTATGCTATAATAAAACATGTAAGTGTTGCAAGTAGTATATGCTGTACAAAATAATTATATATTATTTGTCTGAATGTAAATGTTACTTAATAACATGTATAAAATAGAAACATATTCATTTAATACTATTTAAAAAAAAAATTCTGAAGTATTTTTGTTTTTTTTTTGTGCGATTTTCTTAGATTCGCAGTTTGTCGGTCATTCTCGCACGTTTCTTCACGCTTTACGCGTCCCGTATCTCACGCAGCAATTATGACCGGTGAGTGATATTAAAATTCGATTGATATCATGAATTCGCACGATTAACGCCGTTCTTGCACGTTTGCGGAAATTACTGTGGCGGAAAAGCGCCACGCGCACGAATCTGCGTCGCGATCATTTTAGTAACTTTTTTTAATGAAATATTGTCAAAAACTTTAAATATCAAAAGTGGCGCATTTCAACTGCCCGATCCTAGGTGGTTTCTATTGGTATTTAAGTGATACGTAAAGGATTAAAAAAACGATATCTTAAATCACAAATACTGAATTTTTCCCGTTATGCTAATGCGATTTTCGCACAATGTCGCGCGTGTAAATCTGCACTCTGCTTTACTTCTTTTTGTCCTTGTCTATAACCGGCTATCATACACCTTTCCATATCCGTCGCTCTCTCCTCTCGAGTCAATTCGCTGTCTTCGTTTACTGTAACAGAGATAGAATGATTAATTATCAATGTGACTTATAAGCATAAGGCAGTGTGTTTTGAGATCGTCGAATTTCTTCGCGAAACGAACGATTAATGATTGACGAAATATTAAAATTAATTATGTGAGACGCATCTATCTCTCGTTACGATATCAACATCATACACACGTGACAGCGATAATTCTTTTTTTCATGTCAACATGAATAAACTAAATTTCTTTGCACAATTACATAAAATTGAATATATGAAGAAACAATTATACAGGATATGTTCCAATGAGCGATGAAGGTGAGCGATGCTTTACCCTTTAGCACTGACATCTACAAAAATATTTCCAAGTTTGATAATTACCTGAGAAAGTGTGCGAAACGTCTTTTCTAGTCGCCACTTCGTATCTTACAGGCCAAAGAAAAGATAGACGCGATGTGTACACGTTTAAGCGGGAGTGAAACAGCAATAGATTTTTTTATTTTATTGGTAGTTTATCAGACACTTGTCAGTGCTTAAGAGTTAAGTATACAGATTATACATATAGGTGTACATATAGATTAGATAAGAATAAATTTATATAAATTATTTTCTCAAAGTGCATCTTTGCTGAGATATTCACTTCTGAAATTAGAATTTGTAAAGCATTTTCTAAAAATTTATTTAATATTGTTCTCAGATTCTGACAATCTTTGCATTATTTATGTGCTAAGCAAAAGTCGTTAGGACAGCTTGATACATTTTTTGTTATTAGATTGGGGACACGTCACCCCTAAAATTCTTAATTTCGGAAAATTTGAGAAAAGTAAAACATTTTAATTTTAACACTTTCTTAGATCTTTTAAACTTTTAAAATTTTTTTAAAAAAGAAAATATTTTTGGTTGATTTCAAGAAAGTGGTTTTTGTGAAAAATGTATTTTGACAGTGAAAGATTAAACGTTGTTCAAATAACAAAGTGTTGCAATAAGAGTTAGGCACATATCTAGTACCACGTAACGGTGTTTTACTTTACATAATACGTAAATTACATAGAAAATAGATGTTTAAAGGGTTTGTATTGTGGGCAGAATTCCAAAATAAACCGTGAACACCATGTGTTAATACTAAATGTCTAAAGTAAGATAAAAAGGAATGTTAGATCAACAGATACGAGAATGATTAAAATTATTATTATCCCGCTTTGGATTTACTCACACGCGTTTACGCATTCCTTCACGAAGTCCTTGTTAACGGGATAATCGCCAATATTCCTCTCTATGGCTGCCATTATTTTGTCCACGACCAATTTCGAGTCTTTTATCTGGAATTATTACGAAACGCAATACGACGGAATTAAGACTTAATGTGACAGAGCATTCTTAATATGATGTAAATGTTTGATGTTTCTAATTTTTTCTTACTTTTGCAAATATTAACGCAAAGTCATTACAAAAACGGATTACAGCTTTGATACTTTGTCATCATTTTTTATGTAATTGATAAATAACGTATTAATAAATTCGTATGATTCTCCTAATATCCTAAACATTTTAATCGTCAAGTTTGTGGTTTAGTTTCGTAATTATATTGTTTTCCTTTCACAGTTGTTATGAGTTTGCATAAACCTTTAAGAAGAATGTCTGAAAAGACATTTTTTAAATAATCCTGCATAAATGTAGTAGCAAAGATTGCGAAAGCGCAATCATTACCATTCCTTTATCTTCCTCTATGCAAGCTGCGAAATAACCGTATTTTTTGAGAATTTCCATACTGTTATCGATGATGTTGTCGTCTGGTATCCTCATGAGAATTTTCTGTGCAAACTGTACTTCCGCTATTGTGGGGAAGATCTCTTTGATTAATATATATTTCAGTACGCGCGTACTTTTTACACGGAATGTTACATGTATTTTCAATTATCTCTCGTGTTTGTAACTCGCTTGATTTTCACAAGCGACTTACCTTCTATCATATGCGCTTTGTGTAAACATATCTGTAAGAGTCTGTTATATTTTAAGTTTTTTTTGTTTTCGGCAATAACCTGAAATAATGAAATCGTATTTAATCTACCAGTATACTGCGGCTTCTCCGTGAGTTATTCCGGACATACTGTATATTTTTTATTATTTTTTAATTAGAAAGTTTTATAATCATGTAATTGAGATGATTTAAAATGTTCACGAAATATATTAAAAACATAAATATATTAAAACCGATTCCAGCAAAACATTATCATTATTGTTACAATTAATTATAGATTATTGAGGAGCAATTGACTTTTTATGTTATTTTTATTTTATATATATATATAGTTTTCTTCTTTTAAACAAACTCAACGGCAACGGATAAGACGAGAATAAGAAATGCGAATCTCTTCATGCTGTTCAATTAATGTTTCGCAAGAGCGAGTTACTTCGTGTAAAATCGAAAACCGATCCGCGCACACACTGAATCTGAGATTTTCTATAGCGCATATTTATACTCCGGATCTCACACTTGAGACCGCCATTGTGAACTTACGTCATGTTACAATCAACAATTCCTGTATTGTGTTTACGAATTTGCGGAAGCGTGCTGTGTATAATTGGTTGACGTGTCAAATTGCGTAAATTCCAATGGCGTCGCCGATAAGTGTATGAAGTTAGCACCCCACTTTTTGAAATTTATAATTTTGAAAGTTGTTCCAGATTGTTCTGACTTTGTACCACATTGTTCCAAAGTGATATTGCTTCATTCGAAACGGTTTTCAAATAAAACAAAAAAAATGATTTTTTGAGCTGGCACCCCACTTTTCGAAAATCGAACATTATGATACCGATTTATGATAAAGTGAAATTGCTTCGTCGTTTAAGCCTAGTATAACTCAGAACAAAAAGATCTCACAAGAAAGGAAGCATGTGTTTTCTCTTGACGTCGGGTGCTGTCAAATCGATTTTTTTTCGAATTTTCGGAGAACGGATGACGCTACGAGTCTCATACTCTAAAACTATAATTCTTAAGCCTAGCACAACTCAGAACAAAAAGATCTCGGTTGGAACAAGAAAGGAAGCATGTGTTTACTCTTGACGTCGAGTACTGTCAAATCGATTTTTTTACGAATTTTCGGAGAACGAATGATCTTATGAGTCTCATACTCTAGAACTATAATTCTTAAGCCTAGAACAACTCAGAACAAAAAGATCTCGGTTGGAACAAGAAAGATAGTATAAGTTTACTCTTGGTCCGATAGACTGTTTGTCAAAAAACTTTTTTTTAATTTTTCGGGCTTATAATTAAACTTATTGATTTGTGCTTTTGGAACAATGTTTGGAACAACTAGAACAATCTATATCGGTATCGGAATGCTTTATTTTCAAAAAATGGGGTGCCAGGTCAAAAACATTTTTTTCATATTTTGGACTTATAATTCAACTTACGGATTTGTCCTTTTGGAACAATGTTTGGAACAACTAGAACAATCTATTGCGGTATCATAATGTTCGATTTTCGAAAAGTGGGATGCCAGGTCAAAAAATCATTTTTTTTGTTTTATTTGAAAACCGTTTCGAATGAAGCAATATCACTTTGGAACAATATGGTACAAAGTCAGAACAATCTGGAACAACTTTCAAAATTATAAATTTCAAAAAGTGGGGTGCCAACTTCATACACTCGTCGCCGATATCGCGTAAGATCCTTAGATGTAAAAGTCTGATCAATATTGCTGGTTTGATACAAAATGGCATACTAATTGCTGTGTAAGCATGTGGTTCATTTTCTATTGCTAATCTGGCTAAACTTCAACTGTTCGAATATATTATCTAATATTGAAAGGAAAAAGAATGGAAATAAACCAGTGTGCATTAGTGTAGAAAGCTATTCGACAAAGGACACATTAATTATATGGAATATAAGATTTTTTTTTCAGTGATATTTAAATTATTATATAAAAAATTGTTTGCTATATCAAACAGATTAGCTTAAGTATGAGAATTGAATTTTGTTAAAATTTGTTAACAAAAAAGATCACGAATATATAAGTTATGGGATTGATAACCTGTTATAACTCATTATAACCTATGAATTGTAACTGCATCATTAACAAGAATTATTAATATTTATTTAATTTGACTTAATATTGGATGTAAACGTAGTACTTTTACATATGATTCAAAGTATACTGTTACATTTATTTTGTATACTTTTGCTTTTCAACTGCGCTGCATACTCAGTTATCATTGATTGCTTCTGCCATAATGTATCAGCCATTCAGTAACGGGACATTGATCAACCTCTTACTTCTAGAAACTCTAATTAATTGTGTTGTCATCGTTGTTTTGCATTGTCTTGCGCGCAAATGTGTTGATTGCTGTGATTATTGTTGACTATATGTAATATTTTCAACAACTTACATTATACATTTTAAAAGATATATATGTATACATCTTAATTTATCATCATTATTTGAGCGATAAGCTATACATTCGCGACAATATTTTAATTCATATTTTATGCCCGTTCGCGCTTGGTGAGCATAGCTCCCTATTGGTGCCGTTATTTTTCGGGTCATTATCCCGTGTACGAATCACGTGGAGATCTTCCAATGGCCAATCTCTGTTTGAGGGTCTCTACGCGCGTTCACTTGCCGCGGGACGCGTCTTCTGATACGACCGGCCATGAGACACCTTGACATACCCAGCGCTCTTTCCTCTCGAGTCAGTTCGCTGTCATCATTTACTGTAACAGTCAGAGATGGAGTGATTAATGATCAGTGTGACTCATAAGTATAAGGCGGTGTGTCTTGAGATCGTCGGATTGCCTCGTGAAAAGATTGATAAATGATCGATTGACGAAATATTAAAATCAAGCATGTGAAATACATCTATCTTTCGTTGCGAGATGAACGTCATACGCATGTGACAGCGATAATTCATTTTTTCGTGTCCATAGAAACAAAATAAATCTCTTTGTACAATTATATAAAATTGAATATATAAGAAAACACTTAATTATAGGATAGGTTTCAATAAAGGTGAGCGATCCTTTAAGGGTGTATAGATTAGGTAACAATAAGTTTATATAAATTGTTTTCTTAAACTGTACCCTTGCTGAAATATTCACCTCTGACGTTAGAATCTTAAAAGAAATTTTCTAAAAGTTCCTTTAATATTGCTTTCAGATTCTGATAATTTTTGTATTATTTTTGTGCTAGGCAAAGGTCGTTAGAATGGCTTGATATAATTTTTTGTTATTAGATCGGGGAGCCGACGGACAAACCACTCCTAAATTTCGTAATTTCCAAACTTTGAGGAGAATAGAACATTTTAATTTTAACATTTAACTTTTAACAAAGGCTCAATGTCCAAGTAATAAGATGTTGATTTTGCGTGGAATAAAACTAAACCAAGTAAAATTGTAAAATTGTAAATTTAAATTGTAAAGTTTAATTTAGAAGAATCAGATTTGTCAAAAAAATTTTTTTGTCGTAACAAATGTTTAATATGAGCATTTCCTAGGATATTATAGCGGATGCAGCAGTTCGTCATGCACGGGAATGCATTAAGATAAGAAATTTGATAATTGGCGGATAATCGCGCGCCATAATATATCAATATTCTTGAATTAATAACTAAAAGTCTAAAATTAATAACGTAGTCATTTCTATAAAATAATACAGGACTTTTTTGTTTAGTTTGACAGCCTACGTAGTCATTTCTATAAATTAGTATAGAACTTTTTTGTTTAGTTTGACAAAATCTTCAAACACACGACAGCACACATTGCTATGACAACTCATCTCCCGTATTGTGCATGATCATTCGGCAATCTTTTTTAATTAGTAACTGTAAAGTTTACGTGAGAGTTTGCAACATGATAGAAGAAATTTGTATCCAGTTGGACTTATTTTACATGTACATGAGTTATGAGATACTTGGCGTCAGACATCTTGTATATTGAATATATACATGTATATATATATATATATATATATATATATATATATATATATATA